GCAAGACTATTGCCAATATGATCAGAGGAAAACTTGTGAGGTGGAAGAAGCCCAGGTACACAAAGTGAAATGTTCAGACTGACGCCGTAACACTGTAAGGACTGTTCCAAATATCAGTCGCACCACTCTGTTTATAATTGTTAATATTAGATAAACAGTAGGCAAACACGGCAAATATTACCCTTACTGCATGTGGAATTTGAGTGCAGACTATAAACTTATGGCTGACTTTCTTCTAATATGATGGAAAGTTTCTTTTTCCTTTCCTCTGAATAAAACTGAACTGTGGATGGCTCAGCACCTGTAGCTCAAGCGGCTGAGGTGTCAGCCACATACTCCAGAGCTGGCGGGTTCAAATCTGGCCCGGGTCTACCAAACAACAATGACAACTACAAGCAAAAGAAAAATAGCTGGCATTGTGGCAGGTGCCTGTAGTCCCAACTACTTGGGAGGCTAAGGCAAGAGAATCACTTAAGCCAGGAGTTGGTGGTTGCTGTGAGCTGTGATGCCATGGCACTCTACCCAAGGCGACAGCTCGAGACTCTGTCTCAAAAAAAAAAACTGAACTGTGGGTTCTCCATAGAAGTGGCATTTTGGGTTTTCCCTCTTTTTTATAAAGTGATTTCTGCCTAGTTTATTTCCCAGTCAACTTTAGTAACCTTTTAATAGTCCATAAGACAACTTGTAAGAAGTTTTCTGAAATAGCATTAAAATATTATCTTAATTCATGAGCTGGAAGCTGGAGAAAGGCTCCATGAAGTAAATGTTCTGAGTGGGTCATCAGGAGCCCTTCCCACCTCCCACAGCCAAGGAGCACACTGGTACTGATTCACCCAGGTGTAGCGCGGCTCTCACAGTCAGATCCGAGGACTCATTGTGGTGGTCCTCAATGTGGTGTTTTTAATATATTGCCTAACAATTTAGTTCCACCCACACTGTGGATTTTTTAGGGAGAAAATAACTGGACAGTTTGTTAGTTTTTCAATTAAAAAAACACACTTAAAAATAAAGAAGATAACTTAAAAGTCAAAATTATTCCTTGATCCACGGGCTGCAGAATAGATGTGTTTACAGGCATGAAAACGACCTTATTTTCCTTGCGCATCTCCATCAGAGCCTGGGGTGTCCAGACGCACTCATAATGAGCAATAATATTACGGAAGGGATCTTTTTCTGAGCAGTAGATCTCAATCAATGGGCTTAAAATATTCAGTGAATCACAGTGAAAACAGATGTGCTGTCATCCAGGTGGTGTTGTTTCATTTATAGAACACAGGCAGGGTAGATTTAACATAATTCTTAAGAGCACTAGATCTGGGGAATGGTAAATGAACGCTGGCTTCCACTTATTAGCTCTTCACTGGAGAGTCAGCCTGTCCTTTGAAGCTTTGAAGCCAGGCTTGACTTCCTTCCAGCAGGACAGTTCTAGACAGCATCTTCTTCCAGTGGAAGGCTATTTGACCTACACTGAGATCTGTTATTTAGTATGCCGCCTTCATCAATTATCCTAGTTAGACCTTGTGAAAAAATTGCTGTTTCACTTTGCACTTCTCTGTTATGGAGACGGCTTCTTCCCTTAAACCTCATGAATCAAACTCTGCTACCTTCAAACTTTTCTCCTGCAGCTTCCTCACCCTTTCAGCCTTCAAAGAATTAAAGAGAGTTAGAACCTTGCTCTGGATTAGGCTCTGGCTTCTGGGAATGCTGTGTGGCTGGTTTGTTCTTCCATCCAGAATACTCAAACCTTCTCCATACCAGTAATACGACTGTTCCACTTCCAGATCATTTGTGTATTCACTGGAGCAGCATTTTTAATTTCCTTCCAGAACGTTCCTTTGCATTCACACTTTATCTCTTTGGCACAAAAGGCCTAGCTTTCACCCCACCTCAGCTTTCCACGGGCCCTCCTGACAAAGTTTAATCATTCCTAGCTTTTGATTCAAGGTGAGAGAACTGCTGACTTTTCCTTCCACTGGAACATTCAGAGGCCATTGTAGGGTTATTAATTGGCCTAATTTCAATATTGTATCTCAGAAAATAAGAGGGGGGTGAAAAGAGGGAATGGCTGGACAGTGGAAAAGTCAGAACACATACAACATTTATCAATTAAGCTCGTTACACAATCTGGGTGCAGTTTGTGGCACCCCAAGACAATTACAATAGTAACATCAAAGGCCATTAATCACATAAAATATATGGTAATAATTAAAGGTTTGGATATTGTAAGAATTACCAGAATGTGACCCAGAGAAAAATGGCTCCAACAGACTTGCTCAATGCACAGTCACCACAAACTTTTAATCTAGTAACTTAATGGTACAAAGTGAAGCACAGCACAGGAGGTGATTCTGACGACCCGCCCAACAGCCCAGAAAGTCAGTGGTATTGCCAAGCAGACTTTACATATGTGGTGGGTGATATAGGCAAAAATGAACACTGACTCCAAGAAATGTTCCAGAAATCAAAATCTTGACAAAATCCCAAATGCCAGTGTGCTTCTGTGTCCTTTGTTCCCTCTCATGGGCTAGGATAAAGAATACATACTAATAACACAGTCAAACATGACTGCGTGGAAGTGTATGAATTACAGAATCAAACCCTGAAGAAGACTCCTCCCAAAGGACTTTCTCTCTAGCCAGGGGATCCTTGCCACCCTTGTTACATTCTAGGTGCACCAGGCCTTCAAAATATTATCTATTATGTCTATGTGGCCTAAATTATAAGTAATCCTTGCCATTTTTAGCATCTGTACTAGAGAACTGGCGGGCAAGGAGGCACTTATTTCAGTACCTAAGAATTTTGAAGCAAAGGTAACATATTAAAAAAACAAAATTTTCTCCAGATTTTTAGCATTTTGTGTTTTATCTAATCAGAAGAATAAATGAGTGTTTATTTCAGTTTCTATTTAGGCATAATGCCGTCTCATAAAACCCCACACAATATTCTCAGTAACATTTTAACCACAGGTGACACAGACACTCAAACAGGAACATGAGTTACAGAGGTATTTAAATCGGAAGAAGGATATATAGAAGAATTACTGGCAGGAAAGCAGAGCAATGATGAGCTCTGACCTATGTCAAATGACTCTGGATGTCACGCAGACACAGGAAATACAATAGGAGACAGGCAAGAAGTGAGGAGGCTGCTTCAGTGGTGGGGTCAGGACAATGACTCCCCCTCCCCCCAAAATGCCCACATCAACTAAGGGTCTGCACCTTGAAAGAGGAGTCCACTGCATTGTCCAGATGCCCCAGTTTAGTCAATTGAGCACTTAAAAGCAGAGCGCTTTCCAGGCTATGCCTGGAAGATGAGATATGAGAAGGACTCAACCTGCCGTTGCTGGGTTTGAAGAAGGAGGCAGAGGGCCATGAAGTAAAATATGACAGTCTCTAGCACGTGCAAACAGCCCTCAGCGGAAAGCCAGCAAGGAAACTGGATCTCAGTCTCAGCCCAAGAACATGCGGTTTCTGCCAACAATCCCAATGGACAAGTAAGTGCATCTTCTACAACAGCCAGAAAGGCAAAGCTGGTCAACTGCTTTTAGTCTCGGAGACGCATGCATAGACCTGCAGGACTGTGAGGAAAGGACTTTGCATTGTGTGCTCATTCATTTCAGCTGCAAGAGAAAATTAATCCGGGTGGTGAGGGCAAGGAAAGAAAAGCAGCTGCCGCCAGGGTGAAGGTTATGGCCTTCAGTGATGCCCACAGGTAGGTTTAAGGCAAGATACTTAAAAATTGTTATTAGTATGTTCCCAAGTTCAGAGAGCAGTAGGTAAAGCCCTACCAGCACAGGGGTAACTTAGCCTAAGAGAACAAACTGCTACCGGGTTCTCTGTCCTTAGTGCAAGTATCAAGTGTGCACAGGGCAACCACACGTCCCTCAGGCCTGGGAGGAACAAGTGAAACTGGAAACTGCGGAGCTCCTGGCTTGCGTTAGGGGAAATAACTGCAACCACTGCCCCCGGACACACCTGACAGCCCAACACCTGGCACTTCCCATTATTTGCTTTGGCTGTGTTCAAGGCCACCAAATCTATAATCACGACACAGAGGTAGTAACTCTCCCCTCTCTCCCTGTTCCCATCTTCCGTTTTATAGGTACCGAGGAGTAGTGTTAGTAGCATAGTAGTATTCAAGTTTAGGAACACTTCAAATCCTTTTCTGAAGTAGGTGGGTACAAAAGAGAGGTGAGAGGGCAGAACTGAGGTCGGTGAGTTTCTAATACACATAGACGATTCCTTCTTGGCTACGAATGAGAACATCAAGACAGGAATCAGATGAAACTGTTTTATAACGTAAATAAACTGACACATCCGACTGATTTTTTTTTGTGCAAGCATTTCTCGTATTATTAAAATCAAGAGTTTGTCTTACTATTAAAAATCAAGCTGAGCTGAATCATACATTCAACTCATAATGTTTTAAAAGAACACTATTGTTAATCCATCATTTAAAAAATAAAAACTAATTAACTTCTCCTCAATGTACTGTAACAGAATATGACAACTGGAGACAATAATAGTATTTGATAATTAACTCCTAGAGAATCAAAATAGATTTTAACTCTGGCAATACCCCAAGAAACTGATAAAGTGACAAAACTT